CTTTGGTTAGCATTTCATCCCTCTGCGATTGATCATACCGCAACACCGAGAAGATGATCAATTATTTGTTACGAGCGTAACAGTGCATTTGTCACATTGACTTGGTAGGGTATCATTATACTAGGGATTTATAAGTACGCTAAATGTGAGACACTGAAATTTTTCAGGCTGTCTAGTTATCTGTCCGATAAAAGTATGCCTTGCAGTCTCCGGTCTCAGTAATTATTAGTAATGTCAATGTTAGGTACATTGAGGACTGTTAATTCTTGGTCATATTGGAGACTATTTTGCTTCTCCAAGTGCTAGCATGCTGCACAAAATGTTTATAGACAAAAATCCCAATGAGTTTTGGTTCTAGTATCTGATGTGATCGATTAAATTCAATATTTGTTGACTCTTAGCCCTTAGGCACAATTTATTTCCATCATCCTTACTAGACTACGCAGGATTCATGTTGTGGCTGTATCTGGGTGTATATGAAATTTGCCTGAGTATAAGCCGGGGGGGGGTTGTAATAAACTTATTTGATGTTGAAGAATAAGCTTTATGTATTTTATTTTTCCCTGTTGGGAGATGTGTGATGAGATAAGTGTCATGCCTTTCAAGTATGAGGTTTTGGTAACTATTATATCTGGAGTATTTAAATCTTTTAGTAATTGAATAAGATGATTTTAGTGCCTCTTAATAATAAGAATGTGTTGAGATATATATCTTAACTCTATTTTATCCTTATCCTGTTTTATTATTTATTTGAGCTTTGAATAATGGTTAGATCCTAGAATCTAGGATTTAGAGAATCTGGCGTATCTATCATCACCAACACTATTTGCATCTGAAGATGAGATTGAATAAGATGAATCAGTGGAGAATTCAAAACTTTAGATCACTGAATTCTCGGCCCAAAAAGAAAAGGAGGAGGAGAAGATTGTGACTTAAGGCCTCTAAGACTCAAAGAACACAAGCCCAGGACAAAGAAAACTAAACTCGGGATTTTTTTAAAAAAACAAGAAGAGCAGGCGGGGTAATGTTGGTAAATAGAAGTCTCTTGTCTAATATGAAAGACGAAGGATGTGTAGATTTGTGTCAATGGCGTTAGCTATGTTGGTGATATGGACAAGCCCAAACACAAGCCTACACAAAAATTGACAAATGCTTAAGCAGCTAAAAATTTGAAATAATCTGCTTGTCTTGTGATTTTTTTTCTTTTGCTATGAGGAATATTCTCATTCCCAAGTGAACCTTTATTTCATTGTTTCCTGTCTGCGTCCCCCTCCTTTTTCTTTAGAAATTATAATGTGTTTGAATTCTTTGGTCGCTGAACTTATGCATGGTCTTCAGTCAATATAGAAAGCAAGTTTGATATTTACAGTCCATATATATGTTTGCAGAACATCCCTGGCTACAAAATGCAAAGAAAGCTTCAAATGTTCCACTTGGAGATATTGTGAGGGCAAGGCTTAAGCAGTTCTCTGTGATGAACAGATTCAAAAAGAGAGCCCTCAGGGTAAGCGTCTGTGTTAGTTCATGTATAATTGCTGACTTAGTTTCTGTGTGATGAAAATTAATATGAAGAAACTGATGTATGTCTTGGTGGTTTGGGTTTCTTCGAATAAATCTGCAGGTAATTGCTGAGCATTTATCTGTCGAAGAGGTAGAAATAATGAAAGATATGTTCACATTGATGGATGTTGACAAAGATGGCAAAGTAACATACGAGGAACTCAAGGCTGGGTTGCAGAAGGTTGGTTCACAATTGGCTGAGCCAGAGATAAAGATGCTGATGGAAGTGGTAAGTTTCTGTATCACACACCATTCTAATGTAATTGGCGAATTGCTCCTCATCATTTCAGTTAGTCTATAAGTGCTGAGTTTAAGTCAATCGGATTTGATTCTTGAGAACTGAATTTAGCAATATGTTGAGCTGAAAATTGAGCTCGCCTTACCCTCCTATAATGAAGTTTCTCATTATCCTTTTTCTGGTTTGGCATGTGCAAGATGCGTATACCTTGAATTGCATTATGTCATACAGTGTTAGAAACAAGATGAATGCGTGCTAATGTAAATAGACAAAAAGTAGTCTTCTTTTAGTGTTACTGACTTACTGTTCAGAATTCGATAAATGAAGCTAGAGGTTCTTTACAATGGGTTTATTCTCCCTTTTTGCTTGCTTATTTTAATTTATTTTCTTTGAAATAGTTTGTGAGAAAAAAGGCACATTTTCACCAGAAATAGACCACACTTTTCTCTAGAGCCAATGTAACCTCTTAGCTATACTAAATTTTATGGCTGAACAAACCATCGAACCTTGTTTTATAGTTTTATTCTAGTGAGCTTCTTATTTAAAATGTTTTTCATTCATTCCAACCCTGGACTTCTCAGATGTATTTGTATTTTGTAATAACATATTTGTGACCCAAGGATGGTTTTCTTTGCTTTGAATTACGTAGGCCGATGTTGATGGGAACGGAGTACTGGACTATGGAGAGTTTGTAGCTGTGACAATTCACCTGCAGAAAATGGAGAATGACGAGCATATCCGCAAAGCATTCATGTTCTTTGACAAAGATGGGAGCGGGTATATTGAGTTAGGTGAGCTACGCGAAGCATTAGCTGATGAGTCAGGGGAGACTGAAGCGGATGTATTGAAAGACATCATGCGTGAGGTTGACACAGACAAGGTTTGGCTTTTAAACTCATGACCGATTTTTCAGATTCGGTTTTTTATTTACCGTGAATCTGATTGCTGAAGAAGATAAAAATACATGGGAGGGAAGGCGGTGGAAAAGGAGCTCAATAACATAGAATGACTGACATTGGATGACTTTCTGAAAATTGCTAATTTTTGTTCTGTTTATTTTTATTTTTATACAGGATGACCGGATAAGTTATGAGGAGTTTGTGGCCATGATGAAAACTGGAACTGACTGGAGAAAAGCATCTAGGCAATATTCAAGGGAGAGATTCAAGAGTCTTAGTCTAAACTTGATGAAGGATGGTTCACTTCAGCTTCATGATGGGATTAGTGGCGAATCTGTGGTGGTTTGAATGTGGAGTGATTTCTTCTTTGTAACGTTGGTACTGACTCAATTTCTTCTTTCTTTGACCGTTTTCTATGCCTGGAAATATGGTTTGTGTGATCTCTTCATGAAAGCAAGTTTTGAGCAGGCCTGGATTGTATTGAAGCCTTTGAAACATGCTAATTTACTTCTAAGTTTGGGGTTGGGTGTCAGGGTTGGGCGGGATTGCATACAAAAGATGATTTACACTTTATAGGTTATCAGCAGAAATTACGGGGCACTTGCTGCAAGCCTCAAAATTGTCACATATATTCTTTGTATATTTTTGTCTTTGTAATTTGTTTTTGATAATTCCATTGGTTAATGTCATTTCCTCCAAGATGTGCAGCAAACCAGTTCAGGAAGTTTAGAAGGGCTTATGCCTGTCGAAGGTATTCAAATTGATGTAGTTATCTGTTTTCATTCTCTAAAATTTAAACTACTTTTGATCTTTGTTTCGAATGATGGCTACTCTAAAGAAACAAGGCATGTAAATTTCTTGTCATCATGTATTGTAAACATGTTTTGCCAAAGCAATTCGTAGATTCGTTTGCATATTTAGAGTTTCAAGGTATTTTTATTTGCATTTTTCTTTGGAGTTCTTTTTAATTAAGTTAGATATATGTTGTATTTTTTTTAACATTCAGACCTAATTTATATTTTCCGGCCAAAACAAACCCAATCTAAATTTGTAGAGAAGTGTTGCAAGAATAAACACTATATAAAATGTGTAGAAAAAAAGTTAAAAATCAGGTAAAATTTGAGAGGAGTAATAATGGTTGAATTAAAATGTGATAATATGGATTCACCTGTCATTAAACCAAGCTCTTAAACCTACATGCTTCGCTAGTCATCAACTGCACAACAACCAAGTTCCGGAATCCAATAAATCTTCAAGTGATGGATTTCAAACTTCAATGAACTTTTTATTTTTTGCCCTCAATCATCTTTTAATTGGATGTGACTGCATGGTTGTGGCAACCATGGCTGCCATGCAAGTTCAACACCATGTCCCTGGATTAAAATATAGGACATTGGTTTTATAAAAAAAAAAAAAGTATAGGATATTAGTAGTTAATTTACTTAGTTTATGGTTTTAAAAAATATTAGTTAAAATTTTAATTTTATAAAATTTTTTATATTTTATCAATTATACCCTCATTAAATATTCTATGTAAAAAAATTTAATAATAATAAATAAAATTTTAATACATTATATTTTTAAAAGAGTAATAAATAAGGTTGGGGTATAGTTAAAAAAATAATTATAAAAATTATTTAATATTTATATTTTGAGTTAAATAAAATTTTTTTAAAAAAGTCGTGTATTATGATCCGAAGATACTATTTTCATAGACGGCAGGAAGTCCTACTACTGGTCAGTAAATGAGTTTGTTTTAATTAGTTTTGTTTTAATTTAATAAATAAATAATAAAAAAATGCTACATTTTAAATGTCAAAACAATATTTTAAGTATTCTGCCCTTGTCGTTGCCTGCCAAGAACAAAGTTACTTCTTGTTCCCTTTGGCGGTAGTATTTTCGGAGTTTGCTTCTCTTTATTTTTGCTCTTTTCACTTTTTTTTTATTTTTTATCTTCATCGTTAAATTTATTTTTAAATGATTGAGATTTAATATTTTATAAAATTAATTTTTTTATTTTAAATTATAATCTTAAATCTTGAATTGTAGTTTAGATAAAATTAATTATATCTTAAATTTATTTAATTTTTTATAAATTTGATGTTTTAATAACAGTTAAAAAATAAAAAAATTAATTTTATAAAATATTAAATTTTAATTATTTAAAAATAAATTTGATGGTTGAGATGAAAAATGAGGAGAAAGTGGAGAGAGGAAAAATGAAGGCAAGTTAACTCCAGTATTCTCATCCGGAAGTAACAACTCGTGAGATTCCTTGGGCTAAGAAAAAAATTGAGAGAGCCATCGTTTGAAATTCATGAACTTTGATTTTTCCGCTGAATAAAGAAAAGTCTCGTCAAAGCGTGTGGAGAAAAGCGATAGGCGTTCTCAATTTCTACCGAGTCGGTTGCTGCTGCACCAAGTAGAGGTTGTGACCAAAATAGAGCGAAGATATATCAGATCTGAGTGCAGCAACCTTGTCTTCAGATCTGAACCACCCATGGCTTTCTCGTCTTCTCTCTTTTTCCTTCTCTCGCTGCTTTGCCTGACCTTCTTTCCCCCTTCACTTGCCGAGATCCGATTCACGGAGATCCGCAATGACGACCGCCCATTTATCCCCCTTGATCAGTTCGGCTTTACCCATTCCGGCCGCCTTGAGCTCAGCGTCTCCAAGATTTCTCTCTCCGACTCCAAGCTCGACCTTTCCAAGGTTGGCTTCTTCCTCTGCACCCTCGATTCCTGGCTCCACGTCCTTCGGCAACTCGAAGACCGCGAGATTACCTGCGTTCTTCAGTCCGATCTTATCGAGTCTGTTTACACCTTTAATTCTCTCAATAACGCCGATTCCTTCAACACGGAATACGTCCAAAAGGACGCCGATCAGTACAATCTTGTCTTCGCCAACTGCTATGAGCAGCAGCTTAAAATTTCTATGGACGTTCGATCTGCTATGTACAACCTTGACGGAAAGGGCCTCGTCCGCGATTACTTGTCTGCCGGCAGAACTATCCTCCCCAGGGTTTATTTCCTCTTCTCTCTGGCCTATTTTGGTCTTGCTGGTCTCTGGATTTACATCCTCTACAAGAAGCGATTGACCGCTTTCCGCATCCACTTCTTTATGCTCGCCGTCCTCATCTTGAAGGCTTTGAATCTCTTGTGCGAGGCCGAAGATAAATCCTATATCAAGCGAACTGGGAGTGCCCATGGTTGGGATGTCCTCTTTTACATTTTTAGTTTCTTAAAGGGAATCTCTCTCTTCACTCTTATTGTGCTGATTGGCACCGGATGGTCGTTCTTGAAACCATACCTGCAGGACAAGGAAAAGAAGGTTTTGATGATTGTCATCCCGCTTCAAGTTGTTGCCAACATCGCTCAAGTTGTCATCGATGAGAGTGGACCATATGGCCATGATTGGTTTACTTGGAAACAGATCTTTTTGCTTGTTGATGTTGTCTGCTGCTGTGCTGTTCTCTTTCCTATTGTATGGTCCATCAAAAACCTGCGTGAGGCTGCAAGAACTGATGGCAAGGCTGCTGTTAATTTGATGAAATTAACCCTTTTCAGACATTACTATATCGTCGTTATATGTTACATTTACTTCACGAGGGTTGTAGTATATGCATTGGAGACCATAACCTCCTACAAGTATTCCTGGACCAGCGTGGTATGTGCAGAGTTGGCCACTCTCTCCTTCTATGTGTTTACCGGTTACAAGTTTAAGCCTGAGGCGCACAATCCATATTTTGTAATTGACGATGAGGAGGAAGAGGCTGCCGCCGAGGCGTTGAAGCTTGAGGATGAGTTTGAATTGTAATCTGGTAGGATGGTCAAGATCCTCCAAAGCTAGATACTTGAATAAGTTGTTGTCGTGTTTTCGAATGTTCAGGTTACATCTCGACACAACTATAAAATTTCGTTTTACATGTGATGGGTATAGGTATCCGAGTAAACATTGTACTATATTTTCTGTGTTCTGGTACCTCCCAGGCCAGTTCTTTGAATTAGAGTCATAATTTTGTAGGCTGTGTGGATGCGTGTGAATCATTGTTATGTGCCGTTAGTATTGATGTTGAATGCCGTTCAGCAAAACATAGCAGATTTTGTAGGAAAGATAGTCTTTTTCTGCGCCCCACCTCTTGTTAGCTAAGTTGGCAACTATTTCTTTTGTTTTCAAACCATAGTTAACTTTTCTCTTGGACTTTGAGCCGGCCCAGATTTGTAGTGGCTTATTTTCATGTATAAAGATAGTGCATATGTTTGATCTGCCATGAAACCAAGTTCCCTTGGTTATCATATAAAATACGATGGCCACAATAAGCCTAGACACACACACACACACTCGTATTAGCCAGAACACGGTGAACCTATGTGCTTCTTAGAAAAGCAATTTGTTAGCCGAAATGGAACTTCGCATAAAACATTTCTTAGAGAAGGGCAAATAGTTTCATCACTGCCTCTTAAATATGTGATATTGTCTAAAACAGACCGGCACAGAGCTGACCAGGGCAAAATCAGAGACAAGATCCCATGTCTGTCTGCGGAATCTATGCCATTCGTAACCAAGGCGTGTCGTTGGATTCATTTACCAATGCATGTGTTTGCTTGCTTTGCCTGTGCAGTTGATAACCTTTAGGAGAAAATAGGGAAACGTGGCAGGAGACCCTTTTAGTCTTGCCTTTATTGGAGATTGTTGATACTTAATAGGAAGGTAAAGAGCAGTGTGTGGCGGTTTACCCTTGCCTAGGGTCGAACCGGTTGCAAAATGCACTTTTGCCATGGCTGGACCTGCTGCTATAGTTTCATGACTTTGAACTCATGCTAAGATCATCAGGGTGCCCCACCTAAGCACTTCTGTGCTGCGACCACTGAAACAGAGACTGCATCTTGTTTGCTTTTCGCAAATACCTTCATTGGACTCGGCTGCCACTTGACTTCTTGTGTACAAATAGATACTGTAAGTTTATATATATATATATAAATAGATCGTGTAAGTTGAATGTCATATCTGAACACGTTGGGCTACTACAGGTTCAATTTTAAGATGAAATATACGATTGAGTTTTCATGGGCTTCTCGAGATGACGACCTTTTTTAGGGGTTTAGGAAACCGGGTGAAGACTGAAGAAGGATTGGCTATACAGAAGATGGTATAAATATGTTGCCAAAAAAAGAAAAAGTAAGATGGTATGAATATAATTCTTTGCGGTTTTCATTGTTCCGTTTCTCATATTCGCTAATGATGAGAAGGGATATCATATAATTCACTTCACTGCGCATTGGTTTTGGGTACCAGGAACATGTCTCGTACTAATATCCCAATCCATTATAATGCACTTCTTGGTATCCGGGATATGGTCTATCGCTGCCCTGGATTCGGGGTTTCTCTAACCTATGTCCCAGCAGACTTGCAGTCCCAATTTAATATAACAGCCCAAAAGTTCGGCCATTGTGCTGGGATATATGCTGAATTGACAGTTAAAAACCAATGAGCCACTCGCTTCTCTCATTTCTAGCACTACCTCCACATGACGCTACACCTTCTCTGTTGGAAGTTCCACCTACCGGTACCGGTTCTGAAATTCCACAAAATCCATAGTGGAGTATCTTGCCCATTGATCCACCGGCACAAATTTCTTCCGTGTAGTTGTGGCAACCTCGCAATCTCTTAAGCCATGGAGCACGTTTTTACTTCCATTGCAGCCCACTTGTGTCTCAGATCATTAAGTCACCAGAGGATTCGTCTCGCAGCCAACCATAGGAATAATTATATCTTCTCCGGCAGCTTGCATTTCCAGATTGTCGTCCAAATGCTATCTCTCGGCTTGAAGGAAGTGAGAATATTAAACTTGTGTTAGCGTCTGTAGTTTTTCCTTTTGCTGTATGAAAATGCATACAGAGGGATACGATATTCAATAACGTACTGGCATGGATACAAAATTAGTCTATTACTGAAATTTCATGTTCTGTGTTGCAAGGATATCCAATAATACCTTGTTATCATGAGTTGATCCATTTGCAAGGATATCCAATAATACCTTGTTATCATGAGTTGATCCATTATTAGTTATTAACAATTTCATACTTGTATTGGTCTGTTGGTTGGATGCAGTATGAGCCAAGAGGTAAGTACTTCAAAAAATCAACCACCTTCGGGGCCAGCGATTCCCTGACAGAAATGATCTAGTTTGGGCCTATTTCATGTCGCAAAGAGCTTCTTCTACTTTTTTCTGGTGCACGGGGAGCTTGTTTTTATTCAGGATCAATAACGGATAACCATATTTCAGAAACAACAAAATCAAATAACCAACCACATACTCAATGACACTGCTGCTGACAATAACAATCCCACACAATGAGAGTTTAAATTAGTTTGAACAGGTGGTGGTAATATTCTTGGGTTTTCTAGGATACTCGGTGATGGAATAAAAAAAATTAATTGGATTGATTACTTTTTTGCTTTACAGAAATTAGCGAATTCAATTATTCAATGGTTAATCCAAAAAATATATTTTTTAGATTATATTTACTAATTTACTGATGCATACTTTCTTAAAAGAGAAGACTGATTCATTAACTAAAAGTAGCATCCCAATTCTCCCAAAGTTTAAAGGAACAAAATGATGTGACTCTAAGGGAATGCACATAATCTTCCAGCCAAACATTTGAAAAGGGAAAAAAAACAAAAAAGAAGAAGCAGACAGGACAGGAATGAGGCTTCTAACCCTTGATGAACCGTGGCAACTCCCTTGTGCTGTTGATTGGGCCAATAATGTTTGGTGTATTGGGCCTCACTTCACGTTGATTCCCTCACTAGGTGCGATAACTTTAACAGCATTAATATTATCTAAAAATATGAGATCCTAACAAGTTCCAGTGCTGAAAAGCATGGCATGAGTGAACAATTCGAGGCTGGCATGGCAGCGTCGTTATCCATGTGATGGGGTCAAACTGTCAAAGCCTCAATGCCTGACCATGGTCCCGGTTCCCTGCATTTGATTTGAGTATTAATTATTAGTTGGACTCATGTGCTACGCACGTGCTTCTTCCTGCCTTTCTCTTTCTCTTGCGCACCATCATTGCATCTTCTCAGGCGGTGCCCTTTTTCATCCCCTCTACTATCACTATATATAACGTTACGTTTAATTAATAAAAGAGATCGATAATGATAATACTACTATAGATGCTTTACATAACTATAGTTTGTGCAACCGTCTAGAAAACTGAGGGTGAAAACAACTATAAAAAGAATAGTGAAATATCATGTCTTGACTCAAAACTTCAATGTTAAGGGCTGTAATTTTTTTTTCATTTTATTATACATTATTTATTAAGCTTAATTTCATTTTATATAAATTTTTTTATGTCAACTCAATTAGTCCACCCACATTTAAATATTCTAATAATTAATTGAATTTAGTGTGATGGATGGATGGATGTGTGCAGAGGAGTGAGAGAGCTTAATGCAAAGCGTCATCACAAGATCGACTGGGGCCACGATGACAACTCGCAGAAAAATAAGAAGGCAGGAACACATTCACATGCATCGACCAAACCATTGCCTAAGCCAGCTCGTTGTTCTTTCTGGTGCTGTTCCATTCGTTTCATATTTTCTAAATCAGATATGAAATAAAAATAAGACTAAAAAACAGTGGAGGAGATCAGCAGATAAAAAGGAGGGACAATAATTGAGACCTTGGTTGGGAGAGAGCAGGTGAAAGGGGTGTGTCTTCTTAGCTGAAACGAGTAAAGGGTAAAGAGATAAAAAGATTGAAAGGTGGTACTCATAGGACAAACAAAACAAGAAGAGGCCGACGTTAAAAGAACGGTGGCTTTAAGTCCCACCAACATGCATGACCCATCCACTTCCTATCAAAAGATTATACTTTTATGAAGGTGCTTAGTGATCTTTGTCCCCAACTATGTTGTACTTTTTTTTTTTTTCACATATATTCTTCTAGAAGAGATAATCATATTCTACATATAGTCGGATGTTAAACGTGAATATCTCTTTCAATAAAAATTTTAAATTTTGATTTACTATATTGTCAAATATTTGCTTTTTTTTTCCACTAGACCTAACCTCATCAATTGGTATATCATATCTTTTCTTATTTTTTTTTTTGTAATATTATGCTGGGCAAACTCGGCTACTTGGGGCCTGTTTCATTACGTTTTTAGCTTTTGTTTTTTAAAATCATTTCGTTGAGATGGGGTAGTTTTAGATATTAGTTAAAGTAAAAGTAAACCTAAAGAGATTTTTATTTTAAAGAAAGTAAAAACAAGTTTTTGTAAACAAAATTCAAAGAGAACAGGCCCTTGCTTTTATAAAACCGTATTTATAATTTGTTTCTCTTCCCTTCAACGTTATTGTCATATGCTTGACACTCGCATGCGTGTGCCTAACCTTAATTAAGAAGAATTCTCAGATTTACGACACTCTGCACAACAATTTGTGATAATTAGACACGCAAAACAATCGAAAGACGAAGACTTGATATATTGATTGACGATGAAATAATCCTACAAATATTGTAAAAAAAGTATTATTTTACAAAAAAGAAATAATAAATAAATAGATGGCCAAAGTCCGAGATTTCACGACTTTAGCTCCCACAATGTTACATGTCTGTCTCTCGTGAGGAAAAAATTGTGCACGTGCGCCAGACCCATACGTACATCTATATATATATATATATATGTTGAGAAATTGTTGGACATTGAGATAATGTTTCAATTTCTATCTCGTAGAATTCTGATGCTTTTTAATTTTAATTAATTAATACTTCACCGCTGGTGACCTGTGCTATTAATTTAATGGGCCACCCTGGCTACTCACTGCAAGTACTGAAATATCAATTTTTCGTACGATGATTTTGTAATATAAAGTAAGAACAGCATAACTATTGAAAATTCTTGGCAATTTTTTTGCCGGAAAAATTATTTAGTAATTGATGGAATATCACTAAAAATAAGGGAGAATCATTCCAATAATTTAAAAAGATAATTGTTCATAAATAATAACTAATATAAATAGATTATTGTTAAAACAAAAACATAATTTTTTAATAGAACTTGTTATTAAATCTTGTCTATCAATCATTTTTTTTAAA